TTAAATAATTATTATACTGTAATAAAAAAAAGTTCTAATTTTTGAATTTTATATGAAATTTAAGTTTGCGAATATTTATGTTCTTATTGCAACAGTTGCGTAAATACAATATTAATTTTATTTACAAATATAGTATAAATTATATAATATTACACAATCAATTTTCATCCAATAAAATTCGTTAAAACTTATTGTACACCCCTAGTACAGGTTAAATATCTACACCTCTAGTGTAGGTTAAGGATGCCCACTCTTGGAGGAATCTTAACCTGTTCCAGGAGTTTACGATATTATCCTATTTCCCTCTAATTTTCACGTGACATATACTGATCCAAATTTGATTTATTTGTTTATCAGTAATTTTATAATAATAAAATTTCCAGCTCTCTCTTTTTTAATTTTTACATAAAAAATGATTTTTTTAATTACAATAATAATAATAAAGTTAAATATTTTTCAACAGAGTTTAGAACTTTTAGTATAAATATTATCATAAAGTTGTAGATATTTTTATAACTGTTGAGATTGATAAATAATTTTACAACAAATGCGTTTTTTTGTACTTTATAGAGATTTTTGTAGCATAATTTCAACAATATAGGTCAATCTAAACAGGCGAAAAATGTTTAGAAAGCTGTTCAACAGGTATAGAAACACTTGTATATTAATTTTCATAAGACCAGCTTGAATAGTTATTGAGTTGTGGATTTTTCTTGTAATAATACTAGAAAGCATTTTCTTTTGATAAAAATTTTTATAAATCTTAATATAACATTTATAATTATTATTTCTTGACATTGGTTTTGGCAAATTTTCACTTAATAAAGCTTTGTATTTCAATATAAACTGTACTTTTACAATTGTTATATTAAAATTGAAATAAAATAATTTCATTATCTTAAAAAATATTTTATTTTCAAGTGTACAAAAATATATAATATTTAGGCTTATAGATAAATTTATTCAAGATGCTAAAGCAAGAAATCAAATGCATAAAATATAAAATATTTTTTTTTCTTTTAATATTTAAAAAGTTTATGTAAAAAATATTCTAAGTTTTTCGCATACTGAAGAGCGGAGTACAAACCAATCAAATTTAGAGGGGGTACAGGATAAGAGTCTGTCTGTACCCCCCGGTATAGGATAATAATCTATACCCGGGGTACAGGTTAAGGATGGGTAGTTCAAAATGATTGTCCGTCCCGTGACTTTTAAAATTAGCTATTAAGAATACTTAGAAAAGAACCAAAAAAATTCATCAACATAAATTTATTTTGATACCAAATGGTAACTCACTATTTTCTTATTTCACCAGATATGAATCTAAGATGCGCTGCAACCTATTATTTTTATAAGGCTAATATATAAGACTAGAAGATTTGATTGAACCTGAGAATTTAAGCAGTTATTAAAACTATATTCATATAGCACTGCCGACTTCGTGGGTATCAACGTTTTCAAAATAATAATGTACATAATTTAAATAAATAATTTATAATTATCAACTATTGATCACATTTTTTTTTAAATGACTTTATAATACATTGAAATTCTTGCTTATAAACTATAACTAGTATTTTGTCAGACTTCCTTCCCTCTGCTGAAATACTACTATAAAAAACAAAAAAAAATTTTAAAATTTAAATGACTAAAATTGATGATGTGTTTCGAGTGCACTTTTGCGCGCGCTTAAAAGTTGTAATTTAAATATTTTTAATTTGGTGTTTGGAACCTTTAAAAGGGTTGTATTATTCCTTTGTTCTGCAAGTAAAAAAAAAATAAAACGTGAAATAAATTTGAATGAAAACTAAACAATTTCACAATTTATCTACCATATTTTTTCTTCCAAAGATTAGTTGTTGGTTTTCTTAATTTCTGTGTTTTCTGTTTATATAATCATATAGTTAATATTATATCAAAGAAATAAACATAAATATCAAAAAACATACCTTAATTTCATTAATGATGAAGGTATAACTTTTATATGCATTCGACACTAACAGGGAACTGGGAAATAATTTATTGACAATTTCTTCTTTAATGTCATTTTCCCACAAGTTTAAAGTTAAATCCAAGAAATATGTACTTAAATTTTGATTTTCTATATCGGAAAAAACCAATAAAAATCTATAAATAAATCTTTTTAATGCAAGGGCAAATGCTTTGGCGGGAATAAGTTGTTGACCTTGGCTTCCTTGTCCAAAATTTACAAAATTTTGAATTGAAACCTCCATTGCCCGTGTTAATGGAACTTTAAATTTATCATCAATATCATCAATTATCGAATCAACAATTTCAGCATTATCAATTATTGAATGATCAGCTTCAATCTTATCAATTTTTGAATTAGCAGCGACTTCAATTTTATCAATTATTGAATTAGCAACTTGCTCTTCAATTAATTCGTATAATGCTACAATATGTTTTAACGAAAATTCTTCAAATATCTCAATGAATGCATTATTTATATTTGATAACCTTTCTAAATTTGTTAAATTTGCTAATTTTAACCATCGATTAATAAATTCTATAATAGGCATATCAGGATTGTTCATCGATAATTCTTTTATGAAATTAAAAATGATTTCGAAAAGAAATGCTAATTCTGATAAATGTTTTAGATCCAACGAATTATTCAAAATAAAAGAATTTGTCGGTTGAAACAGTTGTAAAACTAATGCCAATTTTTCATTTGAAATCGGTTCCTGTGGTATTATTTTCTTGATATCAAAAAGTACCCTCAGAGAATTTTGAAACAATTCATGTTTAAACGAAAATTCTTTTAAATAAAATTGATCATCCTCCTTTTCAAAATAAACCTTTTCATGAACTAATTCTTTGACGAGTATTTCTTCAATTTTTTGCAAGTCAAACGTAAAGTTCAATTCCTTATTTTCAAAGTTTCTTTGATTATATTTTAAAATGTTTGGATTCCATTCGTAATCAATTTCTTTTGCTTGTGCCACCTTAACGGATTTGACGTAATAGGTTCTAGAATCGGTTTTATTGTTCCATGATCGTTCCATGAACTTAAAATTCTTACATTGTCCAACCGGAATAGCCAACACGTTATCCAAAAATTCATTATGTAAATTGATCAAGAATTCTAAAATTGCACTTAAGTAGATTCCCGAGTCCTTTTGTTCAACTAAACCAAATATAACTGGAAGTTCAAGATTCATGAATGGTTTCTCTCGAGGTAATTCCCTGGATCGATATTGAATAATATAATCAATGACGGAATTCCAACCCAGGGCAAATCCTTCAAAGAAAGATTTTAATTTGCCATCGTCATTTTCATTTAATCCCATTTCAACAAATTCATGAAATGTCATGGTTTGGGCCGCTTTTCTGGTTAAGTTAAATTCAAGTTTGAGGTTTAATATTTTTACAAATCTGACGATCGGGTGAAGGTGCTTCAATAATTTAAATGTTTCATAGTTATTAAAATATACTGATAAGAATGGATATTTGTCTAAGCTTTGAGTAAAATCGCTATTATAAAATTTGTAGAACTCTTCAAAGTCCACTTTTTTGATCATCTTCCAAAGCCTTGGAAGATAAGTTATTTCCTTATCATAGTTATTTTCAATCCATGGAAATTCACTTTGTAATTGATCAAGATCTACTAAACACATTCGTCGTTGTATAAATATAAAATAGATTTTAAAGGATTGAATAAATATGTTGTCAATTTTCATACAGGTATTAATTTCTTTGACTAACGTTCCAAGATTATCTTCTTGCGTATAATTTTTCCAGAATTTATATGCGAATTCCTTTAGAAATGCTGTTGTGATTACTTGTTGCAGTGCTGAAAGTTGTTGACATACCAAATGGTTCGTAAAGGTTCCAATTAAATGTATAAAATAAGGACTCAAATCCTTTAATTCAAAGCCGTTGAAAAATGGCTGAATGAGTTCACAGCAAATTTCCGCCACATCGTTTTTTATATCAAGACAATTATTGATAACTTTCAGTCTACTTGAGTGTCCTAATGCTTGCTCGGGGTCCTTAATTAGTGTAAGAAATATTCCTTCTCGTTCTTGATTTTCCGTGACAAATATTTCCTCAACTATTACGCTAATGAATTGAAAAGGTTTTCGCGAAAATAAAAACTTATAAAGGATTAACCGAACCTCAGATTCTAGGGGAATAATTTCAAGACACCTCATAATAAAAGATCTAATATAGGTCAAATCATCGTCATCTTCGTCTAAACAGTTAAATACTAATTCGATGATATCCCCCTTAATAAACTCTTGCTTAATGACAGATTTCCCCAAATATATCATTTCTTTGATCTTTTCTGACGGGAATGACTTGATTTTTAATAAATCATTACATAAAAGTAATAATAATAAATTTCTTCTCTCTTTAATTTGATCAGCCAACGACACGATCATTTCTAAATCTTGCTGATATGGCTTATCATTGCATATTTGTTGTAGAATAATATTAATGGCCTCTCGAAATAGGTCTTGACCAAGATTACCATAAACAATAAAATCTTCTTGAACTTTTGTGACGATGGTCGGGAAAGTTTCAATCAATAGTAATTGAGTTAAAATGTTATCCGACCACTTCCACCAGTAGATGTGAAGTAGAAAAGGATTATGAACGATTTTATCTCCAATGATATGCCTAAAGATTAAATCTAAATCTTTGTTGCAGTCTAACTTTCCCGTAGAATAAGTTGATAATATTATCTTAATAAAATCATTATAATATAATTCTGAATAAGTTTGTAGGTGCTCAAAATATAGCTTAACTGAATGCAAGTTGTTCTCAAAATCTTCAATGTGATCCTCGACCGACTTTTCATCCAACTCTCCAGCTTCATTAATATTCTCTAAATCGCTTCTTAGTATATCAAGCTCTTCAAAATAGTACCATTTGTAGAAATTAATCTGATCCATAAAATAATATGAAAAAGGAAATTCTAGTTCAGTTACTTGGGGGCATGTCATTATATAACCGGAGGGTTTCGGTTCAGGCAAGTTATCGATATTGACAATTGTATTATCCATAAAAAATATTTTCCATAAATCAGTCAAGTCTTTTTTCGTTTCGGATTCTTCGTTATCAATAGTGAAAAATATCATTGTTGCCGAAACCATTTCTAGCGAATATAAGATTTTGGCTATCGTTTGTTTAACAATTACCTTCACGTAATTTTGTAAGGCTAGCGAAAAACATGTAAATTGGTTGAAATGATCCTTGCTTATAGCTACTTCGAATTGCCAATCTTCGTAATTTTCATAAATCCAATCAAAGGTTTTTGCCTTGACGCATTCAATGAAATTCACACTATTTAAAATTTTTTCACTTAACGAACTAAAAAAGGGTTAATGAAAAATGTTATAAATTTAACATAATAATAAAAAAAAAAAAAAAAAAGAAAAAGGATAAATGAATATATATACCTGATGTGAGTATTATAACTTTCATTGGAAAGCTGATACTTTATACATGATAAACACCATAATAATTCATCTTCCAAGATTTTTTCAAATGGTATTGAAGAATTAACTATTTTACCAAAAAGTTCCGAATTTAAGATCCCATATATAGATTTATCCAAAAGGTCTGATAATGACAGTTTCTGCCGTTCTAAAAAGTCAATTGTAACTTGCTTCCAATCGCCAAGAAAATTAGACGTTATGTGCTTATTCCGTTGAATATGAAATATTATGCATACATGTTTCATAGTCGTATCAGTCTGTTTTGTTATTGCTAAAAATTCATTACGCAATTGCTCAATAATGTACTTTGTCAACTTAATGTTTCTTGCGTTAGCGATTGTAACATCGCATTGGAGAAATAATACCTGATCCGTTGATTTGAAATAGAAATCTTTAACTATATTCGAAAGTTGGTGTTCGGACTTGAAAATCGATAATTTATATACTTGACATCTTATAAAGTCACGTAAACAAGAATTCACATCCGTATTAATTTTAGAAAAGGTATTAACAATCACTAAATGACATTTAGGTAACGATCCTTTTTGATTAAACAACGATTCAAAATAGTCGCGGAGAGAATCATGAACTTGTTGATGAAAGTAAAAATATTTCAACATAATAACTTCATCTCGTTCCATAACTGATTTTTCAGCTCTTACAATTCCATCCGATGTTGCTACAGAAATTAAGCTTTCCTTACATTTGTCTAAAATCCCTTTATCATCAACCTCAGAATTACTCTTAGTAATATTTAATACTAAACTCTGTAAAGTTACATCCTCATCAAATCCAATGAAGAGATCCTTTTGTGAAAATTCATTATGTGATAAATCCGTTGTATTACTTTTAATTGTGGTCATTCGTTTTGTCCAACCTTTTAATTGTAGAACAAATGATTGTTTTCTTTCGTCAAGGACATCATTAATAGACAAATTTTGCTTTTCAAATCGATCGAGAAGTGATGGATCAGCTAAAAATGATTCCTCATCCATGACAAGAATACATTTGAATTTTGGCGAGACATAACTATAAAATATAACCCGATAATTAATATAATTAGAATGGGAACTTTCTATAACTAAATTATAACTTACAGAATAGGAATGGCGCATGCTCCAAGCGCAACATGTGTCAAACGGTTGGCGTTTTCATTATTCCCTATAGCGATATAATTCTGATTCCATAAATCATAAAGATTTGCTACATGATATATAGTAATAATTTGATATTTAACGCGTCAAGGAAAAAAAAAAAAAGATAATAATAAAAATAAAAAATTTACCGTAAATATCTTCTAAATCTGTAAGAATTAATGGTCTTCCTGTTTCTATACACACCTAAATAATAAATGATGATAAATATGTATACAAAGTAATTAAATAAAAGCAAATAATCAATAATTACTTACCATAATTCTTCTTAAAACATTATATGAATAGTCTTCACGATCATCGGGAAATTGTGATCCTATAATTACAACAGGATCCAAATTTTTTCTCTTTAATTGATCAGTTAACAAGCTTATGGTTGATCCGTCTTTACCAAATATCATCAAATGGCGCGCATTTGGATCGTCTAAATTTGACTCGATCAATTTTAATATTGGTATTGGATTATAAGTCCATGAGTTATTATTATTAAATATATTAAGGACTCCCCCAAAATCATTTACACATAATTTGGCAATATCTCTCCTTCCAAGATTACGAGCCAATGCCATTTGAAAATTCTCTGGTGTCATTTTATTTAATGAAATCTGCCGAATCAACGAATAATAATCTCGATGACCATAACCACAATACTTCGAAAATGCTTTAGCCAGGGGTTCTATAATACTTTTATGACTAGGTTCAAGAGCTTTGGTATTCAATAAGTGTTCGGCAGTATCAATCAAGTCGTCCGAATCGAGTTGGGGTCTAAAAAAGAATAATTAAATAATTTAAATAATGAATTTGTTATGCAGGTTTGAGAAAAGTTTTCGAGCTTACGTTTGTACAAGTATCGCTCGACTGCTTTTACTAATATTTAAGCTCAAGTTTGATAATCCAATAAATGAAACAGCTGATCTAGTTGCCGGATAACTCGGT